GAAAAATAAACAATGTTATAAAAAAGCCATGGGAAAAATGATATCTCTCTCTCCCAAAATATAGTATGGTGATGATTGAATATATGTTAAGCTCACTAATTAAAAACCGTATGTGGAAATTATCTGTACTATAAACAGAATGTCTTGCCAATATTAAACGTTTACAAATTTTTAATTTCCTAAGGAAATCTGACACATATGTATTCCGTAACGAAAAAAAATCTATCCTCAGAAAGCTGTATAAGCCGTAATAGCAATCTGATGAGATATGATCATTGCGATGAAAGTCCAATATGGTGTTGCAATTTTTATTTTACCATAAGTTATTGAATCTTACAAATTTCTCAGAGTTGTTCAGCAGACAATCACCGAATAAAGGCAAAGCGAAGAACGCTAATGTAGCACTGCAAATTACTAATGTAGCCGTAATTACAGGGTCGATGATGAATCGACTTTCATGAACGGGAAAAGATGAACATACTAAAGGAAATTGAGATTTACGCACGGAAGTTTATTCAGCAAAGTTTATTCGCTGAACATATTTTTAATTATTAATTATTTGGTATTAAATATTAACTTTTTATTATAGCAATATTAATTTTCTAACACTCTCTAGTTAATATGCTTAAGCTTAATTACGTGATATTATTTTTGACAATCTACAATTTGACTGACCATTTATTCTGTATCAAAATTAATCTATAACTTTTTTATTTTTATGAAATATAATTGCTTAAATTTTTCGCATAATTACATTGCTTTCTATGCACGATCGTAACAATCGTGGTACGAACGATCGGAACGATTGACAGCTTTCGGTTGAGTACATTAAGAATTGCGTTGTCGAAGACGCGGTTTCCTCTCGTTGGACTATAAATTAGTAATCTCGGCTCAACGTTGCGAATATCAATTTAGTGGCGTGCGATGCGCGATAAAACAGAAATAAGGGAGCCGGACGGTCCGCGACGGCGCATCGAGAAGAGTGCATACCTCTTGCCACCGTTACTGGCAGTTTCCTGCGATAACCCCAGCATTATACTCATCCCCGGTGAACGGGACGGGGAATTCACAATGGTCCACAATGACTGGGCCAACATTACGAATTAGGCTCGGTTACGCGTTTATTGCCGATTCCGGTTCGGGCCAGCGGCGTCGGTGCGTCCTTCCCCGCCGACGCGCGACGTCGAGGCGAATCGACGGCCGGGCGTCGCGCCGCTCGACACCGACGCCACTGCCGAGACGAGAAGTATTAGCATTGGTTAGCTTTATGGGGCGTTCAGTTCCGCCGTTCTCTCTCGGCTCTGACTCCGGACTTCGTGGCCCTCACTCATTCGCGAGAGTGAGATGAAGGGAAAAGGAGACAGAGAGCCGCCACGGTGCACAGATCAATAAAATCTGTCTGTCTAGAAAAGTAATGCCAAATTGGCTCTTCGCTCTCCCAGCATGTATAAATGCCACAAAGAAAGCGGAACAACGAGCGATGGTTTAAATTTCGCCGATTTCAACATGAAATTTTGGCTACTCGTGGAATTCTGGGAATGACTATTTGGAAAAAATATTTTATTAAGAAAGAGAAGAAAATTAAATGTATATTCTGTCTCTCTCTTGTGTGTCAGAACAATCTCCTTGAATGAATAAAGAACGTGACAAAATACAAAAATATGATTAATTAAAAACAGAATAATAACATCTTGAGGGTGTCTCAATAAGAAGAAATTAATTACTGTCGAATTTAGATAACGTATGAATATCGTGGAACACTGCGATTCTTACCGGGTGCGTGTGTTTTTTGTATAGAATTATTAGGACTCTTTTTTTCTCTGTTTCTCTTTCTTTCTTCTCATTCTCTCGTTGTGGTGACTGGCGAGAGTCCGAGAGGGTGGAAATTGGAGCGCGGTAATTATTAATCAATTTCCGTATTAATTGTTTTCTGGGCGGCGAGCTTAAGTGGTATGTTGTGTTCTGGTTCTTGGCAAGCTCTGCCCCGTAACCAGCTAAAGTGTCATGTGAGAAGATTAATTACGTCGCGGCTACGTTTTATGTGTGTCATACGAGCGGGTACTCTCTTCTTCGGCCGCTCGATACAACTCGAAGTAGGCGAGGTCACGTAAAATCTGTTTTGAAGGAAATCACCCAGAAGGACGGTAAAGTTTTGAAGTGCAGAAATATGACTGGCTAGAAAGATTCTGGAATGGCAACTCCCGGATCAGAATTTATATCAGATATGAACAATAAATACATATTATATAATATGAATATTAATAATCTACTATGTTTAATCCATTTATGCATTTAATGCCGCTAATTGTAAATAACCTTTCAAAACGATGTTTCATTGCAATATTAAAACAAACAATTGATGTTTTGTATTGTATTTTGTATTACAATGTACAATGCTACATATTTCTTTGAAACGGGCAAACGCTGATTAATTATGACTTAAAATAAAGAGATAAAGGGTTGCAATACTTTTAGCAACTAAGCATGAATCCCGTAAGACGAAGGTCTCATTAAGCTTTCTGCAGAAGGCAAACATTTCTTCAAACAGACGTGACTCGCCGATCGTACTCAACAACCATCCGGTTCCCTTCGTTGCACGGGGAATGAGTAAAAAAGGGGTACATGAAAATAAAAGAGATCCGCGGGAATGAGATTTCGCCAGTAGTACTCCCGTTCCCGAGCCACGAAAGAGCCAAGTTAGTTTTATTTTACAATCCATCGGCTGCAGCGACACGCAGGGGTGGTACCCCGGTCCTTCATCGGTAACGCAGTTGAGGAATAAGAGGAAAAGAGAGATCGAAAGGGAAACGGGAAGAGCGAAAGAGAGACAGAGAGAAAGAGACTGAGGAATCCTTCAGGACGGTTGGACGGGCGTCGCGACGGGGGTGGAACGGCTGTCAACTAGTGTTTTAAAAGTTTGCGACAGCCTACAAATTGACTCGCTCAGTTCTTTTTAAAAGCAGCGGCAACCAACCACGTCGCGCAACCCGCTTTCTGTCTGTCCTCGCCGCCAAGACCGTGTCGACGACTGAAAAATCCAAAAGTATTACTCCTCGTCACGAGGGAAAGATAATTTAACAAAATATCGAACAGATCATTTAACAAAAACATTTATTTTTTTTTTGTCTTACTTTAATGGATATATTACTTGCTTTAGGTTACTTCCTTTAGCAACAGAAAATTCATTTAATTTGATAAACAACTAAGAGTCAATACGTGGTTAAAATTAAAAACAGAGAATTATTTGAAAGACATAAAACCACAACGCAAGATGTTAGACGCTATTATTTTATATTTCAATCGAATTACATTAATCTTTCAATTAATTACACTTGAGTAAACGTTTCGGTCTTCCATTAGACCATCTTCACTGTTTATTCAAGTGTAATCAATTGAAAGATTAATGTAATTCGATTGAAATATAAAATAATAGCGTCTAACATCTTGCGTTGTGGTTTTATGCCTTTCAAATAATTCTCTGTTTTTAATTTGATAAGTTGTGTAATTTATAAAAAAATATTTGTTTCTAATAATTTTCTGGAAATGAAATTATAAATAGAAATAGAAATTTCTTTTATTAACAATTTATATAACTGAATATAATAGTAGATGTTAACAAAGTCTCGCACGTATATGAACGTTTCAATTAAAATTAATCAAGATTTATAACGAAACATTTATCTGTTTCTAGAGATGGAAATAAAAAGAGTAACTTATCAAACAGAATTTTAAATCATCTCACATTTACTTTTGAAATGATATGAAATTCAATAATATAAAGATTGCTCCTTACTTCTTTCCAATATATACATATAAATAACAAATAGATGTTATATGTGCTATTATTAGAATATATTTTCTTGAAAACACATAATAGATATGTCATATGAAATCGATACGACAAAATAACTCCAATAAATTGTATCGAGAGCTTTTCTCTATCATCTATTGTATATTTGATCACCATTCTCAAGAGTATTGCGAAAAGTTGTGGCCATTCTCGGACAAATCGACCTCTATCTAAAGAGACGGTCGATCCTGTATTGCGAATATGCTTGCGTACAATTCGAATCCAGGAAGTTTAAAAGTATTTCGACGTAAAACGCGGCCATTTCTCATATTTTCTATGCAAGCACGCTCCGCCGGGGGCGCATTTGATACACTCTATTAGTTGCATCTCCCGACTGATTTATGAAGTTACTCTCCGCATTATTATACATTTCCCCCGTTTCGAAACTGGGATTTACCGCAGCGAAGTTTAGTGGCTCGCGTATATTCCATTAGGCAAGGAAGATCAATAGATGTTCTGCCGGCTTAACATCTAAATTCTTTGAAATTTTGTATATAGCGTACGAATAAAAACATTATATAAATATAATACGAATAAATATCATAATCTTTGAAAAATCACATATTTTTGGATCAAACATTTCTACATGTCTTATTTGAAATTTATATATTATTTCAGACACGTTTCATTAAATTTACTTTCATTTAATATGTCCTTATTAAAATTTTATATTTTATTTTATCAATTTCTTTTCGCGCACACGTGATAATTAATCTTTACACATTTTATGTAAAGATTAATTATCACGATTAATTACTAACAGGACCGAATATTTTACACTTCAATCAATTGCCAAAATAAATACCAAAGCAAAAATTATATTAATAAAGTAATATAATCCTATTAAATCTTAAAGAAATCTTAGAGACAAAAGTTTTTACGCAGTTAAACGTGAGAGATGCGTTTATAAGTAGATATTTATTTATATTACAAAATTAGTTGGTTCATATTTAGTAAATAAATATATATGTTTAGAGCGCGTCTTAAGCGGCTCCTAGACAATCAATGTCATTACACAATATTTGATATTGCACAATATTATTGATCGTCTAGAAGCTGTACTGAGCTTCTAGATAGTTTGTTTTAAATTCTTTAAGAAGAACATCGATAATATTGTGCAAAATAGTTGTACTATAACATTGAGCGTCTAGATACCGCTTTGTAAGTTATAATAATAATGAAGTAATAAGAAACTTCTCAGTCTTCTTCTCATACAGTTCTGTAAATATCATCCTCAATCCTATAAGATCTGGCAAGTTTACCTTAAGTGGCAAGTCTAGCTATCAGGATAGTTTTGGGATTGTTCATGCTTCTTCATGGACTTCCTGCTAAATAGGCAGAATCGTCGACGGATGCGATTGTTCAAACATTGAAAAATTTTGCGAGAGGAAGGACGGTGACTTCGGATTGCTACTCGTGGACGTTGATACAGTATTTAACATGAACGATTCACAATTTGCATCTCTACCTCGCTCGTTGTACCATTGATTTCGGGCTGCTTCCACGATTATCCAGAAATACACGCTCAACACTGTAATTATTGTCAATCATTTTGTACAAAATAGGCCATATTTGTTTTTTGGTTTAGTAAAATCAATTTATCTTTACGACAGGTTTGGTAACACAGATCATTAAAGATCATTCATAGCGCTAGATGGATAAATATTTCTCTGTTAATATACTTTCGTTAAGATTTCTTTTTGGGTAAAGTTGCTTTGATAGTAATTCATAAGAATATATTTTTTCGATCTATTTATATTATCAAATAATTTTCAAACTTTTATTTTAAGAACAAATTAGATAATAGCGTTTGTTTGTGTTTAATCAATAGACTTCACAAAGGTAATTCGGGATATAGGTATATGTATTCAGAATTCAGTTATCAGAATACAATATTTACATGAAATCATAAAAAAAGGTTGGAGTACTTACTCAAATAGAGACTGCATATCGTAGTATACCAAAAATATAAGGTAGTTCGTTGATCATATATTATATGATTGCATAGCGACACAGTCTGATCTATTACGCTACCCATTTGTAAATACATCCAAGGCACGGCGGCTGTATGTCTCTTCTGTGAACGTACGCGGAAGTTAGCGTGGTCGTTAGCGAGTTGAGACAAGGCTGTTACGTGCCCAAAATACATCTCGCGGATAAAGAATGTTTGACGAATTTGTATTCGATCGGCGATATCGCTACGACCTTTATCGTAAGAAAACAATGAAAATCGTATACTTCGCTTACGAACAGAGTATTGTAAAAAAAATTCTATACTTTGCTACTAAATATTTTGCGAAGAAAGAAATTAAAAGGTTCGTAAAATTTCTCGGAATACTTATCGGAATTTAATAATTTCCAAAATTAACTTAGACATAAATAAATTCAAAATTAATATAAAGACAAAAAATAAAATATATAGCAAAGTTATCTCACAAATTAGTTGAATAATCTTCCTTCGCGTGATGTCGTAAACTAAACAGTTTTGGTACAACTTAAAATCGATTAATTTATGAGCAGAAAAACTACTCAATTTTCTTTTAAACACTTACCGATAACGATCCTATAATGAGGAATATGCTCGCTGACAGAAACAAGACGGCATATATGAGAAAACATATCAAGGCACTTTCCGCTAAAATGTACAACGTTGCGTTATTCTATACGTTTGTGGAAGCAATTCGCGTATTTAATAATAAGCATGTCAAGTCTTACCTTTTTTCTTCCCCACTACGTACTTCTGCATTGCTTGCATCCAATTTAATCCTAGTATAGCCCAAGTCTTGACAAATTCGAAAAAATCATCATCGCTATCTCTTGAAAAAAACTTGCTTACCAACACGTTTATTAATAAAATCGAAATGGACTGAAAAAAGAATAAATACACGAAAAGCTGAATGAAATATAAAAATATATCTATTAATATGAAATATAAACGATTGATATAAATTTTCAAAACGGCATATCTTTGTACAAAAATATTTTAACAACTGTTTAGGAATTACTCTTGTAAATAATTATCGTATTTCGCTTATTTTTTAATGAAATAATTGGTTTAATACGAATAAAAATATCTCTAACATAAAAGTAATACAAGAAATTTCCCTTAAATACATCTAAACTCCAGACTTAAAATGACGTAGAAAGTATGATTAATTAATTTGATTTCGAATTCAATAGTAATCATCCGTATATTGGCTGCCTCGGCACCGGAAACATTATGTGCTTGCTTACATCAAAGGAGACTGAAGCAGGTTTTATATTCCACATTGGACATATTCTTGTGTAATTATTATAACAATGTGACAATAATTATTGTAAACATTCATAATTTTCGATATCACATTTCTTTTTTTCGATACGATTGCATTCGATATTAGAATCTAGTTATAGGTAATACGTGAATTAGACAACGCCGTACTATATATATATATATATATATATACGAATGTATGAAAAGAATATGGAGTAGAGAACACATGAAATCTTGAACTTACCATCGTATATGCTCCGATCACCTTCGCCGCGAACGTTACGCCGATATAACGCGTCATGACGAAAAAATTATTCGTGTGATCGCTTTGCCTCGCGGATACAAAATGAAGAAGTCGGATCTTACGGCGCGGGCGTCACTTTTCGTGTTACCTTGTCTGACAATACTTGCACGTTGTAAAAAGTGTAAACACATGGACGAAGGTAAATACACATTTAAAGCGACAATCTCCAAAATTAATCTCGCTCACCGTTGTACCGCGCGAGCGAGACCCCGGTAATAATTGTCGTATCTGTTATAATTAACAGGAATAATTAACGCTGTTTCGTCCGTCGAATAATGTGACGATTGTCAGACAAGAGCCTGATTTGAACAGGCGTCACGAGGAACAGAATCGTTAGAATCGTTCCGCATCGTTCGACTGTCGTAGCAATAATGTTGTTTTAGCTGTTACAAACTGAAAGAAACGTATCATTGGTACACTATTGTAATCATGATAATCGAACACGTCAGCGTTTTATCATATGAATCACCTCAAAGAAATTGCGAAGAATTTATCCAAAGGAAATTATATTTAGAAATTGTATTAAAGTACACTTTATCAAAATGTAAGTTTTGATTGTGTGTATGTACGCACGCGTGCACTTCATTTTTCAGTTATAAAAACTAAACTTTGACTAATCGTTTTAATTACGTTATAAAAATTCTATATGTTTAGAAGAAAAATATTGAAATCTGAAATTTATATCATTTTTATTTCCAGAAAAAATATGAAAACGTACATTGTATGTATAAAAATTACTTTAACGATAAATAATAAACTTTAATCTTAAAAATATGTAAATTAATAGTAAATTTACACGTTTATACTTACTTAAAATTTATATACATTTATTTAAAAATAAAAATCTCATAAATTAAAAAATTTAAATAATATTTTCCATATATATAATTTATTTATATGTATATATACTCTCCATATATACATAAATAGATACATATATAAAAATATCCAGCCTATGATATACTACGTATATATGTATATGTATATTAAAAGAGTATATATATATGTATATGCATATATTTCTATGTAATATGTTATTATATATAACATACATATATTTATATATTGTATATATATTGACATATTACATATAACTTTTATTTAAAAAAATAATATATATTCTGTATTAAGCATAACTGTACGTTGTGCAATTCCACAAAAAATACAAATGTATATTAGTTATATATCAATATAGAGTATTATACAATTAATAATTAATATAAATTTTGATAAAAGAAATATATATGAATTTCATACAAACGCTATAGTCTCGGAAACATTGAGCCTGTTCTTTTTAGTTGAATTTCTTGCACGGTTCATCTTCTCTCTTTTTCTCTCCAACGTGAAGAGGAAAAGAAGAAAGACGAGCCGTGCAAGAATTTTAACTAAAAAGAACAGACCTACTATAATCTCTGCTCCGCTCTGAGATACGCGCATGCGCCAGCATTCGCGCAGTTCGCCACATGTTCTTTCTACAGCGTGGTAGATGTTCTTATGATTTTACGCGTACTTTACTTTTCCGCGCTTATATACCTAAGAAAAAAAGTGATTTGTGATAAACAAACGTACTAATGACAATTCAAGACATGGACATCTGTTTGAATGTAACGACGGGTCCAGCTGTCGCAAAGAAAAAGGTAAGTGCTTGGTTATGATTATAGGTTAGGAAAGGTCTATAAACACACTGCATAAAGTGCATATGTGCAAAGAATTTGTACAGATTTTATTCAATTGCGTATAGAAAACTGAAAACGTAAGAAAGAGATCGATGCATAACGTAAAATAAATGTTTGTATTCAGAATACACTGAGAAGAACCAAGTCTTTCAAAACCTCAATTAAAAAGTTTAAGAATCAGTCTTTCCATAAAGATGCAGTACTAAATAGCAAAGAATCAAGAAAAACCACGGATACGCAGGAAACAGGATACAAGAAAAGAATAAAACAGAAGTCATTATCAGTTATCTTTGCTAAAAAGTTGAAAGAAGCAAACTTTGCCTGTCGAAACGTACCGCATCCTCAAATTCCATCTCAAGATGAAGATCTAACAGCGAAAGCTGCAAAGCCAAAAAGAATTGAACAGTCTAATGTAATAAACAAAAAAAACATGAAATCTGATAAGATTTCTTCTACTGTGAACTTTGATTCCATAAATGAATCAACTGTGTCTTTTACAAATGCAACAAAAGAACATATTGATAGAATAGCGTTGACAAAAAGGAGAGATAAATCAAAGGTTGAAAATCAACTAAAGAGATCATTTTCCACTACATTTTCGAGTCAGTTAAAAAATCAGAATGAAACAGATTTATTAAATTCGACTAAAAAACATAACATTCCTAAAAATAATTTTAAATTAGACAAGACATGTAAAGTAATTAATGAATCACCAGTTTTAAAATCTGATAAGATTCCTTCTACTGCAAACTCTGATTTCACAAATGAATCAATTGTATCTTTTACAAAAACAACAAAAGAAAATGTTGGTAGAACATTGTTAGCAAAAAAGAGAGATGATTCAAAAAGTGAATCAAAGAGATCACTTTCTGATATATTTTCAAATCAATTGAAAAATCAAAATGAATTAGATGCTCCAAATTTAATACAAAAACATGGCATTTCTAAAGATAATTTTAAATCAGATAAGAAATATAAAATAACTAAAGAATCACCTATTTTAAAAAACACAAAGGAGACAGATATCTTGAACAAAAAGAAAGAAAAAAGAAATAACAAGAAAATTGTAAATAACAACAAAGAATCAGATGAAACTCCAAAGTTAATGCACAGAGCTAGTGGAAAAATGTCCTCTTTATTTGGTAATAATCCCGACGTACCAACCATAGGTCAGCGATTTGTAAAACCTGTAAATGAACCAGTTTTTACAGAGATTACTTTCGCAGATCTCAATATTCATCCATATATGGTTAGTATTTGCGATAGTTAACATTTGCAATGAAAATATTTGCAGCAAAATAACAATTTATAATTCTTTTCACAGATATCAAATTTAGAGCAAAATATGGGTATAACTAAAATGACAACTGTTCAACAAAAAGCGATTCCTCAGATATTCTCAAATAAGGATGTTTTAATAAGATCTCAGACAGGATCTGGGAAAACATTAGCGTATGCTTTACCCATTGTTGAACTGTTACACAAAATTAGACCTAAACTTAATAGAAATAGTGGTTTATCGGCTCTTGTAGTTGTTCCAACGAGAGAATTGGCCTTGCAAACGTACGAGTGCTTTATAAAATTGGTTAAAGTAAGTTAGACGAATAAATTTTGCATACATTAGCATTTATTAGACATACCAAAATTACATTTTAAATAATTTTAGCCTTTTACGTGGATCGTACCAGGTTACATAGTTGGCGGGGAAAAGAGAAAAGCGGAAAAAGCTCGGTTACGTAAGGGATGTAATATATTAATATCTACTCCTGGTAGATTATTAGATCACATAAAACACACAAAAGCGTTGAGATTAAATGATGTTAGATATTTCGTGTTAGATGAAGCTGACAGAATGCTTGATATGGGATACGAAATGGATATTTCTGGGTAGGTTTCATATTTTTTTTAGTTTGCATATTAATTTTATGTGTAAATTAATGCAATTGTTATTTAATATGTTAATAATAAGAAAGTATAAATAATAACATGAATACAATTATAACGTTTAAAAAGTTATAATAATAACGTTTTTTATAATTTAGGATAGTAAGTGCTTTGAAAGTATCATGCTCTAACGATGAAAAAGAATACGACGCTATGAAAATATTTAGACAAAATAGTAAGAAGATATTTACAGATGAAGAAATTGAAGAAACTTTAAAGGAAGATGATATGAAGTTCAAAACAGAAGAAAATAATACTGATAGTAAAAAGAAACAAATATATCATTCAAGTGACGATGGCGATAGCGATCATGCCGCTAATAATATCTTTGTATCAAAAAAAAGGAAAAAAGATATAAAGCATTCCGGTATAAATAAAAAATCTGATTTGACAGTAGAAAGTATTCAAAATGTCAAGCAAGATTATGAAAATCAATGGAGAAGGCAAACAATTTTATTGTCTGCGACTTTGACACAAGCTGTTGAAAAATTAGCGGGTCTCACGATGCACGATCCAATCTTCGTTGACGCAGCTAAAAAAAATTTAGAAATGAGCGGGGGAGATACTAGCGCGATTAATGAAGACTTAATAGTTCCGCAAAGTGTAATTCAGAGTTACATAGTCACTCCGCCCAAATTAAGAATGGTTACTTTAAGCGCTTACATCGCCGGGAGATGTCAGGTAAGAAAATCTCCATTTTATCAATAATATAGCATTGTTGCGTTGATTTACGATTAGTGGGTAAGTAGCCCATTTTCCATTTTTTTTTAAGTTTTCCATTTTTTTTCTATAGACTCCTGGACAGCATAAAATACTGATTTTTATGGCTACACAAGATATGGTAGATTATCATACCGAAATTTTGTCTTCTATTCTTACAAAACCAATAGACGATGATGACGAAGACTCCGATGCGCTAGTTGATGTAGAATTCTTTAAACTACACGGTAATATGACACAGAAGGAAAGGACAGAAGTCTTCAAAACTTTCAGCCAAGCGAACAGTGGAGTACTATTGTGCACAGTAAGTCGTACATTTTATCGATAATAGTATAAAATACTTGAAATATTTACGAATATATTGTGGACCTTAAATTTTTATTCTTTTGCACATTATAAATATTAAAATTTTTTTTATTTATTTACTCTTAAATATATATTGCACGTTAGATGTTTTACTTGGAGTCAATACATATATATACTTAAAAAAATTAATTATTATATATATAAAAATAAAAGCGTATAAAAGAGATGGGAGCGTTGAAAAATTAAGAGAGAATAGCGACGAAAGAATAACAACGAAAGAAAAGCCAGGAATATCTGTCGGCACTCCCTGAGCTGTAAATTACTTCGTGGCTTATTCTTTCAAGAGGGAATTTAATACCTCTGGACCCACGCTGTGTTCGGAGGTTAAAAATTATGCAGACGCATGAAACCTTCGTA